GTTTTAAATATTTGGATGCAAAGTGGGCGGGGTTTTGAGGGCGTGACGACGAAGCTGCAGGACGCTGGAGAAAGCACAAGGAAGATGGCAACAACTATTGAACAGTGTTATTGACAGCAGCAGCAGCTTTCAATGGAGCGCTCCATTGAAAGTTAAAAGTTATTTTTTCTGTCGCTTTTGTTAAAAAAAAATACGTTTTCAGATAATTTGAGGTGATATAATACTTTAAAGGGTCAATATATGGTCCATTTACCTATTTAATGCTTAATTAAAAAAACAATTTCTGAAGTTGAGAGAACCACGGCAACCAGTGTACCTCAGAAGCCAATGGCAGCCAGGGCTAACCGCAGCCCCTCTCTCAGCATAGCCGTGTTGGAAGGACCACTGGCTCTAATGGCGATTTTTGACTCAGCTTTGGAATCAGTTGTGGAAGGATTAAACTTGGGGTTTTAGCTGAAACGTGAGCAGGAAGATTCTCTAAGCTCATTCATTTTTGAGAAGGACGTATTCGCCGTTTTACCCTCAGGCAGTTTGTTTACACTCCCCCACCAGCTTTCTGCCGTGCTTCCTACGTCACTGTCAGTTGCGCTAATTGGTCAGAGCGTTGGTCAAAATCATTGGCCAACGCTCGAACTGCTGTAGACGGGCTGCGGTTTGCCCTGGCTGCCGTTAGCCTCCGAGGTACGCTGGTTGCTGCAGTTCTCTCAACTTCGGAGAGTTTTTTTAATTTTTAAACTTAGTTAATTTTTTATTTTAGTTTTTTAAACGCATTAAATCGGTAAATCGACCATATAGTGACGCTTTTGCCACAGACATGGTTTGAAAGACAACAGGTTGTTCTTGTCAACAATCTTCCGAGGTCTCATTCATCAGGGCCAGACTAAATTACTCATTGAATCTCACATTTAATCTGGTTTATCGGGCTACCCTGCTGATGCAGTGTTTAGAGCATATTATCATTGAGACTGAAGTTTTAGAATTTAAGTAGAAGAGAATTTAATGGTTAGTAACCTCTGACATTCAGGCTGTAGAGGTCTTAGATCAGGTTACTATACAAGTTAGTTCCTCACATGGACTTTAGAAGCTCCAATCTCCAGATACCAAAGGAATAACCAGTGATGGTTAAACATTGGTTTTACAGGTCCGTCCTATATTGTGATTTTCTTTAAAGTCTCATGTACCAGCTCCAACTTTCCTTTTCAGAGCCAACATGTACAAATTCATCTGTTTAAACTAAATCAGACATAACTAAATTCACCAAGCAATGACCACAAAGAAAAACTAGACACATTTATTAATTCTCATTTAAACATTTTATTACCGTTAAACAATTTATATTAAACCTTTAGCTTTCCTTAAAATATCAGAGAAAACATGGAAAAAGATTTAAACTTATATGAAACCATAAAAAGTTTTAGAAAC